AAAGTTGCAGTAAAAGGACCTGGGGTCTGTTATTCTTGAGTTAGGAAAGCACCTTTTGATTGGTGAGCAGGACAAAGTGGATCCTTCAGAGTTCCCATCCGTGTTTGTGTCTCAGCCTGTGTTAGGATTCAGGGCTGTAGCTGTTGTTGTCACTGAGGAGTCAAACTGTGCTTTAAATAATGAGACCCTGGCCTGATGGCCCAGTGTTAAGAAAAAAGGGGGAATGCTCTCTGAGTGTTGAGATGTAACAAGGGCTAATCCTTTTTGCAGTGGGATGGAGCCTGGAAAGTGCACAGAGCTGAGCCCAGGGATTGAAAGGGACCAAGCAAGGGAGGTGAAGGAAGAAGGGAAGTGAGGCAGCAGGCAAGCAGCACCAAGTTGCTGTGTAAGCAGGTGAGTTGTGTTGAGGTTCCTCAGGCAGGCACTGAGGACTTGGAGGGCTCCAGACAGAGCAGACCTGGGAAGGCCCTCGGTGAAGCCCCTCAGAAACCTGAAGCCCCTGGGCCTTTTGGGGAGCCTGAGCTATTGCAGCCCTGGGGATGGCTTTGGTTTCCTTCTCTCCTCAGAGTAAAACTCTGTGGGGGAGTCTGTGATCTCCCTGACTTTTGTGTCATAACTGAAACTTGGAAGGAAGTTGACCTTGTGTAGTTTCCCAACTGACTTGGCCGGGTTGAACCAGCAGTGCCAGATTGTTGTAGTGTGCAGGGTGTTGTTTGTGTCTGAGCAGTTTGGGGTTGATTTGCCAAGGGGAGCCATGGAATGTTATGGTGTTTTTGTCCCAATATTTGGAGGCAGTGCCCTGGATGAGTTGATTTCTGCCTCACTCCCTGATATCTGAGTTAGGAGATGTACCAAGAACTGGGAGTTTTTGCAGTGGGATGTTCCCTAGAAAGTGCATGGAGCTGAGCCAAGGAACTTAAAGGGACTGAGCAAGCAAAGTCAAGAAAGAATGAAGAGGGGAACTGAGGCAGCAGCCAAGCAGCATCAGGCTCCTCTACAACCAGGTGAGTTGTCTTGAAGTTGATAAGGTGGTCACTGAGAACTTTGGGGGCTGCAGGCACAGGTGACCACCAGAGACCCCTGATGGAGCCCCTCAGAGACCTTATAAGGGTTTGTGTAGATGGGAACAGGTGTTGGGAGTGTCCTGAATGTGCAACAGGAATGCAGGGAAGGAAAATGAGCCCTCCTGTAATGCTGACCCCTCCCATCAGCTGCAGTGGAGACCCCTCCGTGTGCCCTTTGGGAGCGGATTGCCAGGGCACCTGGAGGGCTGGGATCATGGCAGGGTGTTGTAAGCAAGGAATGCCTGGCTTCTAAACCTCACCAGCTGAGTCTTAGAGGCTCCTTTGAAGAGCTGAGTTCAGGCAGGCAAATTGCCCCCCAGGAGGGATTCTGTGCCTGCTCCCCCGTGGCTCCAAGGGATCTCTGGCCCTTCACGCCGGCACCGAGATTTTCTCGGGAAGGGCCTCAGATCCCCGGACCAGTCTGGGACACAGGCAAGATCCCCCTGCATTTTGGGACCAAATTGGCCCCTGGAGGGACAGTGCTGTTGGTGCCCCCCGGGTTGGGGCACCCCGAGGACTCCAGCGCGCACCGAAAGGATTATTCGGGGAGATCCTTGGGGTGCCCGGCCCTGGGGAGCTCAAAGCAAGGTCCCTGCCATGGATTCAGGCATTGCTGAGAGTATCCCAGGGGTCCCTGTCCCTGCTAGACAGGGAGCTCTCTAATGGGCTGTAATTGGGTTCTAAAAGTGGTGCTCCAAGTGCCAAAGAAGTGTGGGATTGGGATTAAGAAATGAGCAGTGAGGATTCAATTGGCTGTTTTCTCTGGAATGTGACTGTAAGAGCTGCAGGAGTGCAGGGTGTGTGTTCCAGTCCCCAGCATTTGGTTTGCACATGTTCTGGTCAGACACAAGTACAATTTCCTCAGTCCTGAACACAGCAGAATGAGAATTATGGACTGGCAGTGTTAAGGTGATTGGTGTGACAGGGGTCAAACTGGGAAAACATTGGGGAATTCCTCAGTTTGTCTCTTTGCCAAACTCACCCAAACCTCTGCTAGGAAGAGATGGACTGGAAAAGTTGAGGCAGAAATGGAATTGAAAACTGGGGCTCTTGACACTGTAATTGCTGAAACTAAATGTGTCCAAGCAGCAGCTCTTGTTGTGCAGGGAATAACTCCTGTCAGCAGCAAGGCCCTGACTGAAGTGGCAGCTGCAGTTGTTCCTGTGGTGTGGGCCAGTGGAGCTGCAGGAGAGTGGAAGAGGGCAGAACCTGTAGGTATTACCCCTGATGTGGGATCTCTATGGGTAAGGCCAACCCAGTATCCTTTAAAATCAGAATGCCAGACTGGATTGGTTGCAGGAACAGCTAAATTGGCTCCTCCTGGTTTGCTTGTAGGACGTGAATGCAAGAACCTGCCAAGAAAACCAGTGGACAAGATGATTGATTAGGGCAGGACCTGAGAGAAGCACCTTGAATGACAACCTGGAGGAGTTTCCAGTATTGGATTTAAAAGATGGCCTTTGCATCTCCTTGAGCAAGGAAAGCCAAGAAAGCTTTGCTTTTGCAGGAGAAAATGGGGCAAGCAGGCAGGAAGAAGAGAAGCCCCGTGACTCCTCCCTGAGCCCCAGACAGCCCATGAACTGCCTTGCTGGGAATGGTGGGACGGGCTGGACTCTGCATTGCTCCCTCGGGATGTGTGGTAAGACTGTTATGGCGACTTTTTGAATAGATGGTGCAAGGGCAGCCTTTAAGCAGCTGAAGCATTCCCTGAGGAGAGCTCTGGGTCTGCCAGATGTGTCAGAACTGTTGGAAGCATCTTTGGTGGGGAGGGCAAACAAAGGCCAAGGTGTGCAGTGACCCCCTGAGAAGGGACATTCAGTTAATGGCATCCCTGATGGTGAACTTTGTGGGCTGTTCCCCCTGTAGGGCAGGTGATAGTCCCAGCTCCAGTTATGGGAAAAATGGTTAAAAGGGAGCCCCAAAAGCTGGAAGTCCTCCTGGAGGCTCCTGGCAAAGAGAGTTTGCTGCGTTCCCCCTGACAGAAGGACAGTGATAGCTTTTGAGTGCTGGTAGATCCTTTTAATAGATAGCCTTGAGTGTGTCCTTGTTGCACCAGTAGGACTTATCAAAGTCCCCATATTCCAGGAGATAGACACATTGAAGTTTAAAATATTCTTCCTAATCCTTTGTTGGCTTGAGGCTCTCCCCTCAGGAACTGCAGGAACTCCTGGTGCCGCCTGGGCCGATGGATTGGACGCCCCAGCCCCTCCGTTCCTGCCCAGCCACTGGGGCCGTGTCCAGTGGTGGCACTGCCAGCCCTGCAGGTGAAGTGGGAAGGGCCTTTGCAGGTCTTGTGGGTCACATTTATAGCAGGTAAAGTTGCAGTAAAAGGACCTGGGGTCTGTTATTCTTGAGTTCAGAAAGCTCCTTTTGATTGGTGAGCAGGACAAAGTGGATCCTTAAGAGTTCCCATCCGTGTTTGTGTCTCAGCCTGTGTTAGGATTCAGGGCTGTAGCTGTTGTTGTCACTGAGGAGTCAAACTATGCTTTAAATAATGAGACCCTGGCCTGATGGCCCAGTGTCAAGGCAAAAGGTGGAATGCTCTCTGAGTGTTGAGATGTAACAAGGGCTAATCCTTTTTGCAGTGGGATGGAGCCTGGAAAGTGCACAGAGCTGAGCCCAGGGATTGAAAGGGACCAAGCAAGGGAGGTGAAGAAAGAAGGAAGAAGGGAAGTGAGGCAGCAGGCAAGCAGCACCAAGTTGCTGTGTAAGCAGGTGAGTTGTGGTGAGGTTCCTCAGGCAGGCACTGAGGACTTGGAGGGCTCCAGACAGAGCAGACCTGGGAAGGCCCTCGGTGAAGCCCCTTGGAAACCTTCTAAGGGTAGTTGTGTATGGTGATAAGTGTTGGGAAATGTCCTGAATGTGGAACAGGAATGCAGGGAAGGAAAATGAGCCCTCCTGTAATGCTGACCCCTCCCATCAGCTGCAGTGGAGACCCCTCCGTGTGCCCTTTGGGAGCGGATTGCCAGGACCCCCGTGGGGCTGGGATCATGGCAGGGTGTTGTAAGCAAGGAATGCCTGGCTTCTAAAAGTCACCAGCTGAGTCTTAGAGGCTCCTTTGAAGAGCTGAGTTCAGGCAGCAGAATTGCCCCCCAGGAGGGACTCTGTGCCTGCTCTCCCGTGGCTCCGAGGGATCTCTGGCCCTTCACGCCGGCACCGAGATTTTCTCGGGAAGGGCCTCAGATCTCCGGACCAGTCTGGGACACAGGCAAGATCCCCCTGCAGTTTAGGACCAAATTGGCCCCCTGGAGGGACAGTGCTGTTGGTGCCCCCCGGGTTGGGGCACCCCGAGGACTCCAGCGCGCACCGAAAGGATTATTCGGGGAGATCCTCGGGGTGCCCGGCCCTGGGGAGCTCAAAGCAAGGTCCCTGCCATGGATTCAGGCAGTGCTGAGAGTATCCCAGGGGTCCCTGTCCCTGCTAGACAGGGAGCTCTCTAATGGGCTGTAATTGGGTTCTAAAAGCGGTGCTCCAAGTGCCAAAGAAGTGTGGGATTGGGATTAAGAAATGAGCAGTGAGGGTGCAATTGGCTGTTTTCTCTGGAATGTGACTGTGAGAGCTGCAGGAGTGCCAGGTGTGTGTTCCAGTCCCCCGCATTTGGTTTGCACATGTCCTGCTCAGACACAGGTCCAACTTGCTCAGTCCTTAACCCAAGAGAGGGAGAATGAAGGACTGGCAGTGTTAAGGTGATTGGTGTGACAGGGGTCAAACTGGGAAAACATTGGGGAATTCCTCAGTTGGTCTGTTTGCCAAACTAACCCAAACCTGTGCTAGGAAGAGATGGACTGGGGTCTCTGATCTCCTGGGCAGTTGTTTTGCATGACCCTGGGAGCCTCTGGGATTAGACTGGCCTGGGCAGACAGGGAGCAGTTTGTCCTGTGGAGCTGGGCTGGGTTTGTTGAGGGTGCCTTGGGAGGCAGGGCTGGAGAGGCTCCTCTGTTGGCTGTAGTGGTGGAAGGTTGTAGCAGCAGGGCTGGAGCCTTCGCCCTCCTGCTCCCCCCGTGAGCCCCGACGGGCCCGTGCCCTTGGCAATGGAGGGCCCCCATTGCTGAGTCAGCGGTTCCGGGGGCCAGGAGGGATGGGATCAGGATGCCGAGCTCCGCCCAGGGCCAGGGCTGCCAGTGTTCAACCATGCAGGGAACTGAAAGCACAGTGAGATGGAGGCCAAGCTGCAGCACAGGGATGGGTGAGAAAAGACCCTAGTCCTCAGGTGGAGCTTTGAATTCCCTGGAAAAATGGATCCTGTCAGATGGATCAGGCCCTTGTGGGTGCTGGAGCAGAGGCCTCTCTCATTTTTGGTCACCCTGAAAGGTTGCAAGGACAGCAAGTTCTGACTGCAGGATGAGGTGGCAAACAAAGTGAAGTGGTCCAGAGAAAAGCTGAGGCTAAAATTGGTCCTGTGCCAGAGCAGCCTCGTGCAGTGCTTGTTGCTGTCCCTGAGTGTCCCATTGCAGTGGATATTTCCAAGGGTGCCTTGTGCTGGGGAGCACTGGGGCAGTTCCCTTTCCCTGGGCAGGGCAGGCAGGGCACGTTTCCCCCCTCGAGGGTGGCTCCACAGTCCCCCCCTGTGCCCTGGGAGCGTGGCAGAACACCTGGACCCCCTGTCCTTGTCAGAGAGGGCACAAGGGATGGTTGGATGGGGGAGGGAATGGCTCAGGGAGTACAAGCACCATTACAATGAGTAGGGCAGCACCTGGAAAGGAAGAAGGGGAGTTAATCCAGACAAAATCCAAGCACCTGCCCAACCTGTGATATTTTTAGGAACTCAGTGGTGCTGTGGTCCCCAGGAAGTATTGCCCAGGACTAGGCAGGAGACTTCAGGCTCTGTCACCCCCAGAGCAAGTGTCCAGGGGCAGGCAGTGGGGAGGCAGCTCTGTTGTTGAGGATGGGGTTATTTTCTCTGCTTTATTTTGTCTCCAGAGATGTTCTTCCCATTAATCCAAACTGACTCCATCTCCTAACTCTCTGAAGAGGTTTTCTGCTTTTTGTGGGAGGGTAAGGTTTGGGTTCTAACTATAGAAGAGCCAACAAAATAAAGGCTTTGTGGCAAACAAATGGTGTCTCCCAAACTCTTTGTACTTCAAATAGATGCCTTTATTCTTAGTTTTTTCTTATTGGTATTCTCAAGGTACTTGATACCCTGTCTACAGTTATTTATTTTGGCTTCTCTTTTTTATTTGTTACAGAGTTGATGTGACTGACTTCTTTTTGAAATGCAGCAGTGCTCTCAAGGATATTTCCCCCCCACTCCTGGGCTTGTGCAGGGCTGTTGAGTCCGTGTGTGCCACTGTTCTTGTCCCAGGGGGACCGAGTGACATTTGGAACCAAACCTGGGGACTTGAACTCTAGGAATGTTTCTGTGTCTTTGAATTTTAAATTGCACATGAAGCAGAAATATGTTTGTGGTTTCCAGGTTATATTGTCATGAAAATAGAAATGCATCATTGGATCTTACTCCTCTGAGGGCAAACCACCAGACTGATCATTTCTTAGTCCATCAGACCCAGTGCCAGGAACTCAGAGGGCTGTTTGTGTGCAAATGTGCTGAGTGGTGGTGGCCCCCGTGAGACTGTGACCAGCTGGAAATGTGTGTGTGTGTGTGTGTGTGCAGAGCTGGGCTGGATCCCTTGGGATTTGGCTCCCAGATCCCCCCCAGCCTTCAGGAAAACCAGAGGCCACCGAACCCTGAGGGAAGGGAGTCCCATTTGCAGAAGGGTTTGTAGATTGGGGAAAAGCTCTCCAGAACAAAGCCTGTGTTCCAAACCCCTTCAGGCCAAAGTCAAGGAGCACAAACCCTGGAGTCATCAAGTTACGAAGTTTGGTTCAAACCATTTCCTAATAAGTCAGTTTTAATGAAGTGTTAAAAGGAGAACTTAAATAAGGGTAATTTCTGATGGAGAATAATGGGAAGAAGTGGTTTAAGTTCCCTAAACATGTTTTATATCAGTCCATGGTTATTTAATTGAGCATTGTTTGGAATTTTTCTTTTTGCATTCGTTCCTGGTGTGCTTTTCTCTATCTAAGGGATGTTTGGAGGTCTTTTTGATTGCTTGAAGGTTTTTAATGTCAGTGCTGGATTGGGGTGGACAGTCATTGTAACATGATTTAGAGTTGGATGCATTTTATTCTGTGTGCCCTGTTTGATGTCTCGTGTTCAGCGAGTGACTGATCAGAGTTTGGCCCAAGCCTTTGTTTTTCAGGTGAAAAAGCCGAAGGGGGAATTGTAGTTGCAGCTTTGCCCTTGAGCTGCAGCTGGAGCCTGGCCAAAGAACAAGGCAAAGCTCCCTGGGGAAGGAAGGGGGAGCCAGAGAAGAAAAGCAGCTGCAGCCAGAAAGGTGGGTTTGGGCGGGAGAAGAGGGGCTGTGACCCAGCAAGGGGCTCTGGAGGGCTCTGGGGTCCCTGTAATGGCTCTGGGGTCTCTGTAGGGACTCTGGGGTTTCTATCGTGGCTCTGGGGTCCCTATAATGGCTCTGGGGTCTCTGTAGGGGCTCTGGGGTCCCTCTCCTGGCTCGGGGTCCCTCTCGTGGCTCGGGGTCCCTCTCCTGGCTCGGGGTCCCTCTCCTGGCTCGGGGTCCCTCTCCTGGCTCGGGGTCCCTCTCCCTGCCGGCACAGGAGCTGCTGCCGCCCCAGCAAGAGGCAGAGGAGTCGCTGCCCAGAAGCAAGAACTCACTGAGAGCTGAACTGGGGCCGTGTGGGCAGGGCCAGAGGGGAGCAAAGGAAGGGATTTGTTGCTAAGAAAAGAAATAAAGTTTGGGTCATTTGTTGGGGAGATTTGTGTCAGTTTCTGATCATTTTTGGGGGTTATTTTTAGTGAGTTTCTGGTCATTTTTGGGGGAGATTTGGGTCAGTTTCTGGTCATTTTTTGGGGAGATTTGGGTGACGGATCATTTTTTAGGGGAGATTTGGGTCAGTTTTGGGTCATTTATTGGGGTTTTTTTTGCTAAGTTTCTGGTCATTCTTTGGGGAGATTTGGGTGAGTTCTGGGTCATTTTGGGGGGTGATTTGGGTCAGTTTCTGGTAATTTTATGGGGTGATTTGGCTGACTTGTGGGTGATTTTTTGGGGAGATTTGGGTGAGTTCTGGGTCATTTTATGGGGTGATTTGGCTGACTTTCTGGTCGCTTTTTGGGGTGATTTGGGTGAGTTTTGGGTCTATTTTTGCGGTAATTTTGGGTCAATTTCTGGTCATTTTTTGGGGTGATTGGGCTGACTTTTGTGTTATTTTTTGGGGAGATTTGGGTGAGTCTTGGTATCAGTGTTTTGGGGTTTTGGGGTCAGTTTCTGGTCATATTTGGGGCTGATTTTGTATCATTTTGGGTCAGTTTTGGGGGGGGTTTTTTGCATTTTTAGGTCAGGTTTTGGGCCAATTTGGAGTTAGTTTTTGAGGTGAATTGGGCCAGTTTTGTGTCAGTTCTGGATCAATTTTAGGGGTGAATTGGATCAATTTTTGTGTCTTTTTTGGGGAGATTTGAATCAGTTTCTGGTCATTTTTTAGGGAGATTTGGGTGAGCTCTGGGTCATTTTTGGTGAGATTTAAATCAGTTTCTGGTAGTTTTCTGGGGAGACTTGGGTGAGTTCTGGGTCTCTCCTGATAGTAATTTTTTCAGGCTCCTCTCCTGATTTTAAATTTCTCAGGCTTCTCTCCTGATTTTTATTGTATTAGTCCTCTGTCCTGATTTTACTGTTTTCAGGCTCCTCTCCTCATTTTAATTTTTTCAGGCTCCTCTCCTCATTTTAATTTTTTCAGGCTCCTCTCCTCATTTTAATTTTTTCAGGCTCCTCTCCTGATTTTAATTTTTTTAGGCTGCTCCCCTGATTTTTATTGTATTAGTCTCCTGTCCTGATTTTAATTTTTTCAGGCTCCTCTCCTGATTTTAAGGTTTTTAGTCTCCTCTCCTGATTTTTATTTTCTTAGGCTCCTCTCCTGATTTTAGATTTTTTAGGTTCCTCTCCTGATATTAATTTTTTAAGGCTCCTCTCCTGATTTTTAGATTTTTAGTCTCCTCTCCTGATTTTTATTCTCTTAGGCTCCTCTCCTGCTTGTAATTTTTTTAGGCTCCTCTGCTGGTTTTAATTTTTTTAGGCTCCTCTGCTGGTTTTAATTTTTTTAGGCTCCTCTCATGATTCTAGTTTTTGTAGGCTCCTGTCCTGATTTTAATTTTTGTAGGCTCCTCTCCTGATTTTAAATTTTTTAGGCTCCTCTCCTGATTTTTGTTTTTTTTAGGCTCCTCTCCTGATTTTTAGATTTTTAGGCTCGTCTCCTGATTTTAAGATTTTTAGGCTCCTCTCCTGATTTTAATTTTTTTAGGCTCCTCTCCTGATTTTAATTTTTTTAGGCTGCTCTCCTTATTTTTATTCTCTTAGGCTCTTCTCCTGATTTTAAGATTATTAGGCTCATTTCCTGATTTAAAATTTTTAAGGCTCCTCTCCTGATTTTAATTTCTTTAGGCTCCTCTCCTGATTTTTAGGATTTTAGGCTCGTCTCCTGATTTTAAGATTTTTAGGCTCGTCTCCTGGTTTTAAGATTTTTAGGCTCCTCTCCTGATTTTAAGATTTTTAGGCTCCTCTCCTGATTTTCAGATTTTTAGGCTCCTCTCCTGATTTTAGTTTTTTCAGGCTCCTCTCCTGATTATAATTTTTTCAGGCTCCTCTCCTGTTTTTAATTTTTTTAGACTCTTCCCCTGTTTTTAAGATTTTTAGGCTACTCTCCTGGTTTTAATTTTTTTAGACTCCTCTCCTGATTTTAATTTGTTTAGTGTCCTCTCCTGATTTTAATTTTTTTGGGCTCCTCGTCTGATTTTGATTATTTTAGGCTCCTCTCCTGATTTTAATTTTTTTAGGCTGCTCTCTTGATTTTAATTCTCTTAGGCTCTTCTCCTGATTTTAATATTTTTAGGCTCCTTTCCTGATTTAAAATTTTTTTGGGCTCCTGTCCTGATTTTAATTTTTTTAGGCTCCTCTGCTGGTTTTAATTTTTTTTGGCTTCTCTCCTGATTTTTAGATTTTTAGGCTCCTCTCCTGATTTCAATTTTTTTAGGCTCCTCTCCTGATTTTTGTTTTTTTTGGCTCCTCTCCTGATTT